CAAAACTAATTTCAATGTTATCTACGTAGTGTGCTATACGTCACTTGTTAGATGTATGTTATAGGTTCGTGTGTGTTAGTTTAACTATCCCAATTGTGTCGGTATGTCGGCATTGTGCTGTGTAAGTCTATGAAAATGTCTCTGTAGGAAATGATAATATCATTTTACTATATGTATGTTATAGGTATGTGTGTGTTTGTAAAACGATGTTAAATGTGCCTATTTGCTTATATTGTGTTGTTTATGTTCAAAGTACTAAGAAAAAATGAACATGTAGAATATTTTCCCGTCGTATCATGATGTCGAAAACTGCACAACAAATGTTTACCGGATCTGAATGTGTCGGGTATATAATTATCTAAATGAACTTTAAATATGTTGTGTCACTCGTTGTGTTATATGTATATATATTTTAAGTAGCTTACCAAGTCTTCTTGAAGGATAAGATATTTTGTCAAAATCCGTTTCCGGATATACTTAAAGCTTTTATTATGATTCACTTCCCTATACACATTTTGTCCAATATTTGTTCTGGATACGTAAATTTCATTTTTTAAGAAAAATATCTAATTCAAATTTCTGATTATAATGAAGGAAACATACATGTAAAACATACAAAATTACGGAATGCTTTACGTACATATGCCCTGTCAAAGACAGAGAAATTCCGATTGTAATGCTTGTAATCTTTTGTCAGATTTTGTCTCTAGATATGTTCATTTTTTTTTTATTGTTTTCATTTCCCATCAATAAAAAATAATTAAATTTGACGAAAGAATGTTTGTGTTGGTCTATATTCTGATTTTCTCAACTATATATATTTCAACATGTTTACAAATCTTTATTCAAAGATTTCTAGGGACTTGTCTGGTGTCAGGTAATTAGTCTCAGAGAAATAAGCTGTATCATCTGTTCTAAAGTTAAGCTAAAGTACATCTTCCGGTCAATTCTAGGGTATATCCGACATTTTTTCGTAATCCCTACCCGGTCAAAGTAGGTTCCACGACCAAAGTAGGTACCCTAGGAGGAGCTAATCCCATTGCCGGTCAAAGCAGGACCTCATAAGGTCAAAGTAGGACCTCATAATGTCAAAGTAGGTACCCGAAAAGTTAATGCTCTTATAGGCAAAAACTAGGAAGTCAGAAGTAGGAACTCCTCCTATGGTATTGTATTGTATTGTTTATTCAATTTGAAGCCTTCCGGCTCATAAGCATACATAACAACGTATAATTGATACATCAGTGATATGAAATACCAAATAATTATAACATCATGAATGAAGCATAATCTTGTACATCGCATGTATAAATGGACAGTATAATTCTTTAAATTACTATAAAGTACGAGATAAATAAATTATCGGAAGATGGACAGCTCTTATAAAATTACCTCACCTAAGTGTACTGTGGCTATCGGAAAACAGATGAGGGGACAACATTTTCTTAATAACCGGGGCTCAACAAAGAGTATGTTAATTATAAAAACAAAAAACAGGCATACAATTTGTATGCAGTGATGTAGTGGTCAGGGGGTGGACAAAACAATATGTGTTAACCTGGAAATAAACAAGTACTCAAATGTTAGCGTGATAAAAACCCAATAACCTAAGGTTGGAATCTAGACCGTTCTAACCAACTTGATTGCAGATATTTTCCTAAATTATACAGCTCTTTTCTGTTATGGACAGCTAGCAGCTGGACAAGTTTATATGAAGATTTAGTTTTAGTTTAGGGTACTACATACTACTCATTGCTCTTTAGGATGTAACTGAACTGCGTACTTATCTCCCTGTGACCCTTCAACTATAAATGTCCTGGCAGATGGAACATGGGTTACCTTGTTATCCCTAAGAGCGGCAACTGCTAAAGACCTTTGTGAAGTTTGTTTACTTACTCGTTGAATCTCGGACGCTATACCATTTGCTAAACTAGCTACATCGTCATCGCTTACCTCTTAGTTCAGACCTATATGTTCCCTGGAAGTTACTGTGTCTTTGTCATTGATCTTATCCTTAACTAAATCTAATCCATCATCAGGATGACAAACACCATTTGAAAACTGTACATCATCATGCAGGGTCTAGCTGGGCACTTTTATGAATAGCATTAAGTCTATAAGATCCTGTTCCAATTAACCCTCTCTTAATCTCATTGCCATAATATCTCAGGAGATTAAAAAATGAAAGAACTGCAGTATCTAACGAAACTTCTTTCCAGTTATTCTAGGACTTGATTAAGCTGTTTGTACCTTCAACAATATCATTTGTAATACCTGTATACTTGTTCCCCACACCAAGACCAGACAGAAGCCACCAACCAGCATATTTTATAATGTCACCCTTGATATGGGAATAGAAATAATCTACAAAAGGTTCACTCCATTTCTCAGATACTGTATCGTATCTAAGATTGCCAACAATTCATCTCCACTCTCGCATCTTAATAGCTGTATAACATCCTCCTTGTAAATTGAAATATCACTACTACCCTTAAGCTGGTTCAACCAAAATCTAATATCTCTACGAATATGATATCACGAAAAAAGTACTTTGTGCTGAAATTTTATCGATTATATTAAGAAATAATTAAAATATCAGCGGTATTGTTGTAAATAACAAAGAAATTCTTTTATCACAGTTTGCTGATGATACGTCTGTTATCCTTGACGGTTCAGAAAAATCTTTAAATGTAACGCTACAACAACTTAACTATTATGCCAGAATTTCAGGTCTTAAAATGAATTTCACCAAGACCCAGGTAATCTGGATAGGCAGTGAAAAATATAAAAATAATAAATATACAACAGGGCACAATCTTTTGTGGGGAAGTACTCGTTTTAATTTGCTAGGCATTGAATATGATGTTGATCTACATAGAGTAGTTAAATTAAACTTTGATAAGAAACTTGTTAAACTTAAATCTCTCATAAGTTCGTGGAATAGAAAATTTTTCACTCCAATAGGTAAGATAACCATTATTAAAACATTGCTAATTTCACAATATAATCATCTTTTTATAGCTCTTCCAAACCCACATGACTCTTATATAAAAAAGGTAAATAGCATATTAAACAAATTTGTGTGGTGCTGAAAAACTGATAAAGTTAAACGTGATGTTATAATTAAGTCATACGAACATGGTGGTTTGAAAATGATTCATTTAAAGTCTTTCGTAACAGCACTAAAGGCAACTGGGTACGGAGGATCTATAAAGAAGATGATAGTTGGACTTTCATTCCTGAAAACTACATGGATAAGTTCTCTTTAGCTAACTGTGGAATTCATAAATTGAAAATTATATGTGAAGAATGTAAAAATAAATTTTGGAAAAACGTTCTAGAAGCATGGTATCAAACAATAGTGTCGTCCAATTTATATAGTGAAAAAATATGTGAAAATCCTTTGTGGTATAATCACAATATTCAAATAAACAATAAGCCTGTTTTCTGTAAAGAGTGGTATAGAAAAGGAGTGCTTTTTATATATGATGTAATTAAAGAAGATGGTTCTTTTTATAATTTTGTAGAATTTCAACATAGATATGATATAAGGTCCAATTTTTTAACTTTTCATAGTATAATTAGTGCTATAAAACAGTTTATAAATAGTAAACAAGAAATCTTTGCTTTAGAAAAGAGTATTTGTTTACCTAATATACCTTTAAATCTTAATATTATATTAAGGAGGACTAAAGGGGCACAGGATATTTATGCTGTTTTATGCCGAAATGATACAAAACCCACGTCACAAAGGAAATGGTCTACGGTTTTTAACATTCAGGACAAATTATGGATAAAGATTTATGCATGTCCTTTTAAAACTACTGAAAGTACTAAATTAAGATGGCTTCAATACCGAATTAACCATAGAATCTTAACTACAAACACACTCCTACAAAAAATGGGAATAAAACAAAATTCAACTTGTACTTTTTGTAAAAGATTTCCAGAAACAATTGAACATCTATTTTGGGATTGTGGTAAAGTATGTGAAATTTTGAGAGAACTAAAACAATTGCTTGCAACCAGTAATATTGATTTGAATTTTGACAAACAGGAATTTATATTTGGACAATTCAGTTCAAAGGATGCTGATTTGATAGTGGATAATCTTATCCTATTATTGATTAAACAATACATTTTTAANAAAAAAAAAAAAAAAAAAAAAGTACTTTGACATTTGGAAAAACCTCCTCTAGAGATTTTTTATCGCTGATTCCCTATCCAAAACTATTATTTGATTACCTTTTGATGAATTTGGATTTAGAGACTTAACAGATCGCCAAAAAAACTCATGTACCCGAGTGGACTTCCTATCATGAATGAAAAATGCTACAGGAATTGTTTTATTATTTTGAAATAGCACATGTCTGAAGACTAAAGCTGAAACATAAAAATCGCCTACTCGAAAAGTAGTGTCATATGACATATACAATTTCTCATCTGATTCAACCTGAAGTAATAAATTCAACTCGTCCAATAATTCATTATTTCCCAAAACACATCTAAGCTCTGGACCTACAGCAAATGCCAAAATCGTGAATAAAACCATCTAAATGATACATAAGCTCTAAAGTACTAGGCCTATATAACTCATGAAATATGTCGTTTATTGCACCGAAACTTACATAATTATAAACAGTGAGGTATTTTGTTCTATATACCTGAAAATAACATATTATTTTTCTCTAAATATCTAATTATATGTGGAAAAACCGTGATTTTCAAGGTTGACTGCGGCATACAAGTTTTACCCCTTGAAATACACATAATCGTCAATTTCTAAATTATTAGATAATAAAAAATAAAAATAAAAAAATTCACATTTAGAAAATAATGTTTGAATTTTTTGTTTAATTTTATATTTTTTTTCATAAACGATCGCGTTAATGAGATATTAAAATATCTCTATATTCCTGGTACGGGGTTTTTGGGACGGGAGCGGGAGCGGCGTACAAGATTTACCTACCACCAAACTTTCGGAATCACTCGTACATTTTCCATACAACGGAGTCAAAATCTCGAATGAATCATCGTCTTATCTGTTGCTTATGTGGACCAAAAACACGGATATAGACAACACTAAGTCACTAACCTTTGTCTAATATAACATAATATTCGTCTTATTGACGACCACGTTCAACAGTAAGCTGGCTCCCTTAAACTTGCCAAAGACTTTCATTTGACACCGTCACACAACTTCCGCCATTGTATCGCAAGCCAACATCGATCATGAACATGTTCGATGAACTGGGTAAGCAAACAGACCGTACGTCTAGTTTCTTTACAGGGTATAAATACATATCTTGTATCTGGGAACAACCATCAAACTGCCAATACGCCTACTCAATGAATTATAATAATAGATATTTCAGTTGTTGTCAGGCGCATTACACGAATTGCCCTATCCTTTAAGAATGAAATAGGTTGAAACTAAATCAAAATGTCAATATTCAGACCTAAGCTGACCCCCGTGTGGTCATTGGGGCGTGTTGGACCTGTGATTTACATACAGTCAGATAACAATAACGTCATTTGGCACGACACACATACTTCTTGTATATACATGCATGACTTCAGACCATGTGTGTTTCTCAATATTAGGAACCGTGACATGTTTGATCATGTCTCATTGATTGGATATTGATTGCCTGGTATAAGCCTATTGCTGTCCCTCATTCATGTCGATCAGAGCCATGTTGGAATATCATTTTAATACTTGCTAAATATGGTGATAAAAAGGAGCTTTACATAAATTCCAGTTTATAATCAGTTAAGCCATCTAATTCAAAATTCCTCCCAGAAGTATTCTCTGTTTTAAAAAGGTAAGATTTATGATTTTTATATCAGTAATCATATATTGTTATATTTGGGTCGGTTTGTATAATTCTTTCCGACCTGTTTGAAAATCAGATAGATTTCAACATTAATTAATTCCCCAACATTTCAAGTAAATGTCTGGTACAATTGAACCACTAGGTCTGCTAATTCGGGTCTATTTTAAGTAGAGTATTATATCAATGCTTTCTCTGTTGCTAAGCTCTGACAACAACAATTCAACTGCTATATATATTTAACAGATCCTTACTCAAACCTAATAGTATGGAGTTCATTTTCACCTGCAGACCATACTATAGTGCACAGCAATGATTTTATTTAATCTAAGGCTGAAAATGAGCAATGCCATATGACACACTTTAGTGCAGGATGGTCAGTGTTGACAGCCAAACACTTATAACAAAGCAGGACAAAATATTATAGGGGTCCCATGATAGTGTAGAACTTTCCCAGTCAGTGATTGTTAGTTCTCCTGTTAGCTAACTCTATCTGGCCAAACAAGACAGATTTGTATGACTTTGTTTTAACTCATAGTCTTTTATTGATAAAAAATAAGGTGCTGGAAAGACTTAAAATTCATGATATAAGACCAGCAGATCCAAATAAATTACAGGTGTGTGATTTCACCAACGTACCAAAATAACCATACACACATTGAACAATCCATTGCCCCATTGTGCTATAAAACATGCACATATGTAATGTGGTAAGATTGTTTGATCAATTTCACAAAACGAAAAAAATCCAGAACGCTTGAGTGAAATAAATAAAGTACATTGTATACATAATATCTGACTAGTATATTTTGGACTTATTGTACATGATGTATCCATTCCTGTTAGATAAATAAATAACCATGTAAACCTGGCTAAAATACTTAAAATCAGGAAATGAACGAGTTTAACGACAAAGTATTAATCCATATGCCATTCCTTAATATCTTTCAACTGTAATGGCTATAGCACAGTTTTGTGTACATCATTAATGCCCAGTTATCATGATGTACTCACCACACACAGTGTACTATTGGGCATTCTCACCACTGTACCTTTTTTAAAATTGTCTTACTGTAATTTCAGGTCAAAGGGGTCAATGAACTTGCACTGAAAAAATCAAAAAAAAATCTTGTATAGATCAGTTAGGACAGGAGTACAGTCAAACTTTGCGGGACCATTGGCATTGATTTGAAACATTAGGACATCGACTCACGAACATGGAGTTTCTAAGTGACAAAACACAGGCTACTTTTTATATAAAATGTATAAATATAGCTTTACAGTAATAAGAATAACAGGTTCACTTACATGCTGCAATTTTCATGGTGATCTTATCAATTCAGCATTTCTTCATTTGTCAATTAAGAAAAAAATACATGGCATTCGATTTCATCAAAAATTTGCATGTTACCAACAACTTGAACCAATAAATATTAACGAGTCGAACATACCATTTTCTTTGACATGTACCTGACGGTACCCTTACTGTACCTGACAGTACCCTTACTGTACCCATAAAGTACCTGACATTACCCTTACTGTACCCCTTTCTGTACCTGACAGTACCCTTACTGTACATGACAGTACCCTAACTGTACCTGACAGTACCCTTACTGTACCTGATTGTATTATTACTGTACATGACAGTACCCTTACTGTACCTGACAGTATACCCTTACTGTACCTGACAGTATACCCTTACTGTACCTGACAATACCCTAACTGTACCTGACAGTATTATTACTGTACATGACAGTACCCTTACTGTACAATCAGGTACAGTAAGGGTAAGGACCTGACAGTCCCCTTACTGTACCTGATAGTATACCATTACTGTACCTGACAGTACCCTAAATGTACCTGACAGAACCCTTACTGTACCTGATGGTACCCTTACTGTACCTGACAGTACCCTTACTGTACCCCTCACTGTACCTGAAAGTACCCTTAAGGTACCTGACAGTACCCTTACTGTACCAGACGATACCCTTACTGTACCCTTACTGTACCTGATGATACCCTTACTGTGCCTGACAGTACCCTTACTGTACCCCTCACTGTCCCTGAAAGTCCCCTTAAGGTACCTGACAGTACCCTTACTGTACAGGACAGTACCCTAAATGTACCTGACAGACCCCTTACTGTACCTGATGGTCCCCTTACTGGACCCGACATTAACCTTACTGTACCTGACAGTCCCCTTACCGTCCCTGACAGTACTATTACTGTACCTGGTGGTACCCTTACTGGACCTGACATTAACTTTACTGGACCTGACAGTCCCCTTACTGTACATGACAGTCCCCTAACTGTACCTGACAGTACCCTTACTGTACAGGACAGTACCCTAAATGTACCTGACAGACCCCTTACTGTACCTGATGGTACCCTTACTGGAACTGACATTAACCTTACTGGACCTGACAGTCCCCTTACTGTCCCTGACAGTACCCTTACTGTACCCCTCACTGTCCCTGAAAGTCCCCTTAAGGTACCTGACAGTACCCTTACTGTACAGGACAGTACCCTAAATGTACCTGACAGACCCCTTACTGTACCTGATGGTCCCCTTACTGTACCTGACAGTACTATTCCTGTACCTGATGGTCCCCTTACTGGACCTGACATTAACCTTATTGGACCTGACAGTCCCTTTACTGTACCTTACAGTACAATTACTGTACCTGATGGTACCCTTACGGGACCTGACATTAACCTTACTGTACCTGACAGTCCCCTTACCGTACCTGACAGTACTATTACTGTACCTGATGGTACCCTTACTGGACCTGACATTAACCTTACTGGACTTGACAGTCCCCTTACTGTACCCCTCACTGTACCTGACAGTACCATTACTGTATTTGACAGACCTCTTACTGTACCTAACATTAACCTTACTGTGCCTGACAGTACCCTTACTGTACCCCTCACTGTACCTGACAGTACCCTTAAGGTACCTGACAGTACCCTTACTGTACCAGACGATACCCTTACTGTACCAGACGATACCCTTACTGTACCCTTACTGTACCTGATGATACCCTTAATGTACCTGACAGAACCCTTACTGTACCTGATGATACCCTTACTGTACCTGATGATACCCTTACTGTGCCTGACAGTACCCTTACTGTACCCCTCACTGTACCTGACAGTACCCTTAAGGTACCTGACAGTACCCTTACTGTACCAGACGATACCCTTACTGTACCAGACGATACCCTTACTGTACCCTTACTGTACCTGATGATACCCTTAATGTACCTGACAGAACCCTTACTGTACCCCTTACTGTACCTGATGATACCCTTACTGTACCTGACAGAACCCTTACTGTACCTGACAGTACATGCTCATTAGTTTTACAGTCATTACAATACTGTGTAACAAGTATGGAAGAACTAGATAAAATATAAAACATACCAAAAAGATTTTACATATATGTATTTTATGTACCTAACCTTATTAGTCCTCCACTGGTTCCTGGGAGGGGGGGACAACAGGTTTGCACTCCATCTGTCCGTCCGTCCTTCCGTCCAAGAAGTTTGTCCGGGACATATCTTCTATATCATTTCACCTGGAGTAACCAGATTTGATGTACAAGGACATCTTGGGGTGGCAGCGTGCACTGTGACCTATGACTTGACCTTTGATCTTAACTTTTCAAAAAGTTTTGTCGTGGGCATATCTTAGTACTATTTCACCTGGAGTAACCAGTTTTGGTGTACAAAGACATCTGAGGATGAGAGAGTGCAGAGTGCAAGAATTGGGTCACTGTGATCACCTATGACTTGACCTTTGACCTTAACTTTTTCAAAATTTTGTCCTGGACATATTTCTGTACTATTTCACCTAGTGTAACCAGATTTGGTGTACACGGATGGCAGAGAGCAAAAAGTATTTATCAGGTATACTTTCCTAACAGTAGGTACATCCTGGCATAAGTGTAATGTTTGTTAAATATAGAAATGATCACTGACGGAGGACTATGGATTGCCTTGCAATACTTTGCCTTGTTTCACTCAAGTCTTCTGAACTTTTTTCATTCGGAAACATTGATCAGCTGATCTTACCAAACGGTACATGTGTGTTTTATGGCACAATGAGGCGATTGATTGTTAAATGGCACAATTGTGTGTACTATGTTCACATGGTTATTCTGGTGCATCACACAACTGTATATTGTACTATTTCTTTTGTCAAATCACAACAACATTAATGTAACAAATGCATTAAGCTCAGGTGACCTTTAATGGCCATGGGCGTCAGAGTAAATAATCAGACCCTAACATAAACTCTACTAACCCTGGGCATCTAGCTAGAGGTGGAAATAGCAATTAAAATTGCATGTTGTTGCATGTACTGAAGACATGCATGAATCTTCATCAAAACATTTGTATTTGCTGAGAAAAGCATCAGGATAGTTTGTAGTTAGCTGTTTTCTTGTTTTGTAGAGGTTGCTTCACTTAAAACCTTACCTGGTTCTCCTTTTCCTATTATTGTTGGTGATTTGTTGGAGAATTCTAAGCATGACTGATGATAGAGGTCAAAACTTGACCCATCTGTTTAGTACAGTAGTCAGTGAGACAGCCATCACCAATACTACTCCACACCAAGATCTAGACAATACTACTCTCCTTCCACAGGTAAGCTGTCTGGGCTGGGCACTCCGTAGGCGTGGCCGTATCGTACATGCTTTAATTGTTAATTAGGTGCTATTGAAACAACTGAAATATCTGTTATTATGACAATATTCTAAATTTGGATGTCTATGTGTATGATTAGGGTGGATGCATGTTTCATTTACAAACATTTGAAAAACTAAAAAAAAAAAAAAGATCTTTGACAGAAAATAAAAATTACCTAAATAAGAAATCAGTTCCAAATGTGTCTGTTTTTTTTCTGAAATTGAAGGACGAATTATTGTCCGATGTTATGTCTTAAGACTTGTGCTTTTACCTCGCATATTTGAAAAATGATAATATTATGCAGTCATTCTGGCATCAGTGTTGGCAATTGTTAAGGTTCAGATGCAAGTGTCGAAAGTCACTGATATTGCTTGAAGTACCAGTATTTATACGAGGATGCTAATATACCATAGAAGTTCCTTACAGGTTCGACATTGATGTAGTTCAGTAGAAATAGAAAAAATATTTCAAAATTTAAAACTTCACTTGACTTTGCCAAAATTTATAGGTTTAGGCACAAGTTTTGAAATGTCATTAAAATTACATGGAGTATTTTTACTAGGATGCTTATTCAGTTGATTTTTTTTACGTCAAAGTCAACGGGATCATGGATGAACTTTCGCATTCGCAGTGTTCCCAGGTTTGGAAAGTTTGTATAATATGAGGCTATCTGAGTTTTTTTAAATTTTTCTAACTTTTTCAAAGTTTAGATCTATCAACAGCCAATAAAAAACAAAAAAGATAATAATATCTAATAAAATTCAATTTATTCATTATTATTATTAGCTCACCTGGCCCAAATGGCCAAGTGAGCTTATGCCATGGTGTGTCATCAATTTTTTGTCTGTCTGTCCGTTTAAATATGTAAGTTGTTCCATATTTTTTTTAGCCAACCATCATCAGATGGTAGGCTATTTAAGTCGCTTGTTGTCCGTCCTTAAACAATTGTTAGTTCACCTGGCCCCATTGGCCCTTATGGCATGGTGCGACGTCCATCGTCAACTTTTTACATTAAACAACTTCTTCTCAGTAACCAAAAGGCCTAGGGTGAGGATATTAGGCCAGAAGCGCTGGGACTAAGGGCTACCAAGTTTGTTCAAATAAATGACCTTCATCCTTTTTCAAGGTCACAGGGGTCAAATATGTTAAAATCTTGAAACAACATCTTCTGAATAAACAAGAGGTCTAGGGTGATGATATTTAGCCAGTAACATGCTGGGATGAAGGGCTACCAATTTTGTTCAAATAAATGACGTTGACGTATATTCAAGGTCACTGGGGTCAAATATGTTTAAACCTTTAAACAACTTCTTCTGAATAACCAAAAGAGCTAGGGAGGTGATATTTGGCCAGTATCATGCTGGGATGAAGGGCTACCACATTTGTTCTAATAAATGACTTTAAATCATATTCAAGGTCACTGGGGTCAAATATGTTTAAAACATTTAAACAACTGCTTCTGAATAACCGAGAGGCCTAGGGTGATGATATTTGGCCAGTTACATGCTGGGATGAAGGGCTACCAATTTTGTTCAAATAAATGACCTTTACTTATATTCAAGGTCACAGGGGTCAAATATGTTAAAATCTTTAAACAACTTCTTCTGAATAACCAAGACGCCTAGGGTGATGATATTTGGCCAGTAACATGCTGGGATGAAGGGCTACCAAGTTTGTTCAAATAAATGACCTTTACTTATATTCAAGGTCACAGGGGTCAAATATGTTTAAAACCTTTGCATGACTTCTACTTAATAATCAAAAGGCCAAGGGTGATGATATTTGACCATTTTAACATGCTGGGATGAAAGGGCTACCACAATTATTCAAATGAACGACCTTCGCCCATATTCAAGGTCACAGTGGTCAATATATGTTTAAATCTTTAAATGATTTGTTCTGTATAACCAAAAGGTCCATTGTACTGATATTTTGCTAGAAGCATGCTGGGTTGGAAGACTATAAACTCTGTTCAACTTAATGTCCTTGTTCAACATTCAAGGTCACGGGCGTCATATGTTTAAACCTTGGGGCAGAAAGTAATCCAGTAGGATCACATTTTGTAACACTCAAATACCTCAAGCTCAGTATCAAAAATTAAACCATGTCATCTCTTGACAAATAAACTGATAAGGGGATTAGCATTGCGCCGTGATTAACCTTGTAGTTAACTAAAATGGCTAAGAAATGTTTAAGCTGAAAAAGTGCCATGGAGATGGGGTTGATATGTATCAGTCGGTGAAACCAATGCTTGTTTTTTGCAGATGAGTGATTTAATGACTACAGCACTGGCTAATGTGACTGGCAATATATCGGATTACCAGGACAATACGACCAGACCAATGGGGGATCCCTGTGCCGCAGTCTCCACAGAGAAGAGCATGGAAGGGACAGAGTTCTATATTGGACTGTCTCTTGCTATCAGCTCAAGCTTATTTATAGGCAGCAGTTTTATCTTTAAGAAATTAGGACTCTTGAAATTGGCCAAAACCCAGGGCACAAGAGCAGGTATGAATTTTATTCAAAACCACAAGGTGGCGCACATATAGCCTTCAATTTCACTATGACATATTTCAGGGGTGCAAAGAGCGTAAGTGTGCGTAACCCCTGGAGTATCAAGGATGTTTTACCCTAAGTGTCCATTTATTTTCCTATTACTTCTCCAGTTCCTTCCCTCCCCTCTTTGTCAGTTTTCTTTTCCCTCTGAGTGTCAGTTTTACCCAATCCTGCTTTTCCTTTTCTTCCGAATGTCCCCTTCCGTTTTGTCTACTTCCCCAAAATATCCATTTCACCTGAATGTCCCTTTCTTTTGCCCCCTAACTCTCCATTTCCTCTTTATGTTCCTATTTTGTGTCATCTTTCTTTTTTGGATATATTTTTCTCCTTGTTCTTTGTTTATATCCGTTCCTATTGTATAAGTCTTTGTTTTCTGCTGCAGAGTGGGGCAGACTCGTTAATCTGTAATATATGTTAGCATTATATATACATAGGGTACAAATATTTGGAATCATGTGTGTTGTTATCCCATGTCTAGTGTGTCACTAATTCAATTGATGGTAATTTTAAGATTTTACCAAAGTGTCCTCTCATACTACGAGGCTTACAGATCCCAGATAGAGAATCGCTTACAGCAGTCAGTTTCATAGTGTATTTCAATAAAAAAGATTGATATAAACAAAAAAAGGTAGAAGTAGTTTACCGATCATAAGAAACATCCATTAAATCCACTTTGACATGGGTCTGATTGGTCAGCTAGGTGGGACATCCACACAGCTGACTATCACCCTACAGCAAGAGGGAGCTGACAAAGACACTTCCTACTTACCTAACCCAAATCACCAAGCATACTACGAGGCTTACAGATCCCAGATAGAGAATCGCTTACAGCAGTCAGTTTCATAGTGTATTTCAATAAAAAAGATTGATATAAACAAAAAAAGGTAGAAGTAGTTTACCGATCATAAGAAACATCCATTAAATCCACTTTGACATGGGTCTGATTGGTCAGCTAGGTGGGACATCCACACAGCTGGCTATCACCCTACAGCAAGAGGGAGCTGACAAAGACACTTCCTACTTACCTAACCCAAATCACCAAGCACTTGTGTAATTTACCTGGCTAGCAGATTACACATTCTACTAACTATTTACTGGTTTATTTGTTACAGGTCAGGGAGGATATGGTTACCTGAAGGAGTGGCTATGGTGGTCAGGCATGATATTAAGTGAGTTTATTTTATATTTCCATTGAAACATATCCATTGGAACATAAAATTATTGCCAAAATAATCATATTTTAGACAAATTTAGTGACAGGTTTCTAAAGGATGTTTTACAATCTCAACTAATTCAAGAACATTATCCAAGCAAAAGCCTTCATTAAACTACACGCAAACAAGGTTGGTGTGTGTGAGGGGAGGTACCTCATAAGGTTGCACAGTGGAAGTACATCCTATGTAGATGTACATGGCCTTTTTTCAGGGAGTTATATGGCCCTTGAAACTTATTTTTTTTCTCCAGAAAAACTTTTTAACTTCTTAACTATTTGTTGGACTTTTTTGACACTTAATGCAATAAAAGAGCATCATATGTAGTTGTGAATGAAGAAAAGAATGTGTGATTCTACCTTTTTTTTCTGGAGTTATTGCCCTTGAAACCTTAACTTGTAAGTGCAACTCCTCCTTAAGAATCACATGAACTGGTAGCTATAGTCATCAACCTGAGATGGCGATAAGAATTTATACTTGTGATAGGTCTGACCCTCCAGGGGCCTGAGTGGTGATAAGAATTTATACTTGTGATGGGTCTGACCCTCCAGGGGCTTGAGTGGTGATAAGAATTTATACTTGTGATAGGTCTGACCCTCCAGGGGCCTGAGTGGTGATAAGAATTTATACTTGTGATGGGTCTGACCCTCTAGGGGCGTGAGTTTTGATAAGAATTATACTTGAGATGGGTCTGACCCTCCAGGGGCCTGAGTGGTGATAAGAATTTATACTTGTGATGGGTCTGACCCTCCAGGGGCCTGAGTGGTGATAAGAATTTATACTTTAGATGGGTCTGACCCTTCAGGGGCCTGAGTGGTTGAGAATTTATACTTGAGATGGGTCTGACCCTCCAGGGTACTAAGTGGTGGAGGGTTTATACTTGAGATGGGTCTGACCCTCCAGGGGCCTGAGTGGTGGAGGGGTTTATACTTGAGATGGGTCTGACCACCCACGGACCTGAGTGGTGATTTATACACGAGATGGGTCTGACCCTCCAGGGCCTGAGTGGCGATAACAATTTACACTTAAGATAGGTCTGACCTTCCAGGGCCTGAGTGGTGATAAGAATTTACACTTGAGATGGGTCTGACCCTTTAGGGGCCTGAGTGGTGGAGCCAAAAGGGGTCAAATTGGCTTAAACTTTAACAATCTTTTTCCTCAGACCCAGTTATGATAGGATCAAATCCTTTTTGTGGATGGAAAGGTTAAGGGTGCTGTATCAAGATCACCCATTCGTCCCTGGGGAGGGGGGTAAGGTTTACTATGGTTTATTAGCTCACCTGGCCTGAAGGGCCATGTGAGCTTATGCCGTACTGCAGCGTCCATTGTCCGTCGTCCGTCTATCATCCGTCTGACATCCGGCATCATGATTCTTGGGTATGTTATGTAGACCAGTAGTGCGTATCTTTTTCTTAATTACAGTAATGAGGTTAAAGGTCAACTTTAAGTGCTAGTCAGGGGTCAAATGTCAACATGGGTTAAACGCTTTAACAAGTTCCATAAGGCCCAGGGTCATGATATTTGGTCAGTAGGTACCTGGGATGGAGTGTTATAAAGTTTCCTCATTAAAATGACCTTGACCTACTTTCTTAGTCACAGGTCAAATATGTTTAAAAGATCGAAAAAACAATATCCCAACAACCATTTGGACTAGAGTCATGATACTTGGGTATGGTATCTAGACCAGCAGTGTGAATCTTTTTCTTTATTACAGTAATGAGGTCAAAGGTCAACTTTAAGTATTAGTCGGGGGTCAAATGTCAACATGGGTTAAAAGCTTTAACAATCTTCTTCTCAAGTTCCATACGGCCCAGGGTCATGATATTTGGCCAGTATGTACCAGGAATAGAGTGCTACAATTTACGTTGTCGTAAAGTAGGCACACAAGTGGATTGTCTTCCGTAAAATATGACGAACGTGATTGAGATTAAAATAAAGAGTGTCTTTCAAACAATAAGTTTCTTAAACTATTTAAGTTTGACCAAGGTTCACGTACAATATGAAAAAATTGTCTTTGTTTTGAATCTCAAATAACCCACGTACGACGCCGACATGGTGTTGTCGTAAATCGTGATCTGCGAGAATTTATTCATTGCAAAATTATGACCTATGTTTAATTACACTTTCCAAATCTCAATGTAATAAAGAGTTACCTTTTGTGTTATCATTTTATTGTTCAAACTATCGTAACAGGAGGTTACAGTTTTCACTTCCCTCGTTTACGGCTGGTTTAACCCAATTTCATAACATGGCATCCAATTGGTCAATAGCAATGTACACATTTATCATTGCCTGGTGTTCTTATTTGCATATTGAGGTCATCTAATGAAATGCTACGTTTCAAAGGTAGAAGGTCACTGTGCGATAGACAAACTCGCAGAAAACGATGTCGCACTTGCAGCAAATAACTAAAGAAATTAAACTATAAAAAGATGTTACTAGCGAAAGAACAGTATATATATCAAGATAAAGGTAAATGTTTACCAAGTCTCATGTTTACAATTGATTTTGATGCAGAATACTAGCCAAACACTTGTATGCCTTCATCACTACTGCAGTAAACAATCATAATTACGATCGTACTGATCGTCTTTTTGCTACTAACTATATGAAATGTAACTGCATACTGAAATGTAATACAAAGAATATGATTATTTCTATACTTATTTCTATACTTATTTATTTATACTATATTTCAACTAGAGTAAGGAACAAGGTTAGTAACAAAATATCTTTATTTTACAAACTTCTTCGTAGAGCCACATCACTTAGGCATTTGACTAAGTTCACCTCCGGTTTTGAGGTCTGAAAAAACGTTAGAAAATATGTATTCTGTTTATGTCATGTTTCTGTTAATATCATGTTTTTCTCTGACAAATGGGAAGTGATATTAAGCGAAATCTACTGTATAAAGTTTTCTCTTTAAAATGACCTCGACCTACTTTCAAGGTCACAGGACTCAAAATGAAAAATTCAAACAACGATATCCTAAGAAGCATTTGATCTAGATCGAGTCATGATACTTTTGTATGTTATGTAGACCAGCAGTGGGAATCTTTTTCTTAATTACAGTAATGGGGTCAAAGGTCAACTTTGAGTGCTAGCCGGAGTCAAACGTCAATGTGGGTTAAAAGCTTTAAAATTACAATTTCACACTCAAATTTCAAACAACAATATCTTAAGAAGCATTTAAGAGGTGTTAAAATGTCTTGTGTTCTAGTTACCAAATTTGGTCTAAAGTTACCTATATGTCAGTTTCATGTAACAAAGAAACACCTCTGGGTATAGGGTAAACCTCCGGTTACATGTGAAAAAAACTAAATACATATTATCAATCATGTTCAAATTACACGAAATTATAGCTGCTAAAATCATCATTGGCAACAATCATGACAATCAGTCAACTTGACAATGACGGCCTATTACAATGTATTTGTAAATCTGGTGATGAATAATGGTGCATATGTTATATTTACTTACACATTTATAATTGATTATCAAACACAAGTAATATGACAGCACACATGTCTGTTAGTGAAGTGACGGGAACATTCTATGCTCGGTACTGAAAGGATGTTATACATGGTCGGGGCCTAAAGTTGTTTGGCTGGCATGCAAATATTTAAAAGAAGGAGACTAAATCATCACTAACATGTGGCATATTTATGTACAAACAGCTGTCCATCATAGATACTCGGTCACTACTTTGTTACTCTGTTAAATGCTGTCAATGTGAAGATAGATCAGTTTGAGCGAGTGGAGCGAGGCTATTACTATTATTGGGTTTCCGATTGCAAAAAAATGATCAATAATCCCCAGGCGTATATTGTAAGTTGTTGGTTATATGAGCTTTTATTCTTTGTCACATAACAATAACAAGTAATGATAATATTTTAACTCGGCTCAACAGGTGAACATTAAGACCCATGGGCCTCTTGTTTTGTGACTTGGCACAATAGAAATACATCATATGTTAATGAAGATAGAAATTTGCAAGTAGACTTTTTTGCTGGAGTTATGGCCCAATTGACACTTCTATTTCTTGTCAGTGCAGCTCCTCCTAATCATTTGTTTATTTTTTGTTGTAAGTAGGGAGAGAACATCCTATGGGGATGAGCATGAAGGAAGGGATTTGTGATAAGGATATGATCTCCTTGCAAACGAAGTTAGAATACGTAGATTAAAATAAGGGGGGGGGGGGGCTTGTGAGCTTGCTTAGTTTCCCTAGGTGTATTGTGATTAAGCAGATATATAAGAATGTTACATTCACACACCTGTAACAATTAAATGTTGTATTGTTTCATTGACTTATTTTTAGCCAGCCATCATCAGATGGTGGGCTATTCATCAATTCATCCTTCGTCCGTGGTCTGTGGTCCGTCCGTCCATAGTTGAAGTTTGTTAGCAATATTTCTCAGAAATCACTGGAGGAATCTTTATCAATTTTCAGATGAAGGTTCCCAATGGTCCCTTCTTATGCATATTTATTTTTGGGACTGATTGGAAAAACAGGATGGCCACCAGACAGCAATCTTGAATTTGGGAAGTTCAATTTTGTTATCACTATTTTTAGTTCACCTGAGCTTTATCTCAAGTGACCTATTGCTATCCGTCCGTCGTCGTCCATCGTCCGTTAACATGTTACATTTTCAACTTAAGCTGAAATACTGTCAAAGGGATTTCATTGATACTTTATGGGAATATTACTGACATCTCCCTGACAAAGTGTTGTTATTTTTCAAGTTGATCAGAAATCCAATATAGCCGTCACGGCTGCCATTTCGAAAACCTATTTCAAACTTCAAGTCCAGTTCTACTGAGCCAATTTAACTGAAACTTGGTAGGAATGATCGACTCATGGTCCTGACAAAGTGTTGTTATTTTTCGGGCCGATTAAAAATCCAATATGGACGCCACGCCACGTCTGCCATTTTGAAAAAAACTATTTCAAACTTAAAATGAAGTTCTAATATGCCGATTGAAATGAAAATCAGTCTAGGAATGATCAACTCATGGTCCTGACAAACTTAAGTTAACGTTATACTTTACTATTTTTTATTCAAATTGGTAGGGATGATTGACATCATTATCTCCACTTCATATATCAATAACAAAAAATAAATACTGTAGGACTCAGGTGACCGTTAAGGCCCATGGACCTCTTGTATATATGTATGTTCCCCTTGGTCCTCTTGTTAAAAATACACCTGGCCTTTATGATAATTCATCCGTTATTGACACTTGACAGCACTTCTAATTACATAACAACAACAATTGTTTTTTATTTTGAATATATATATTCTTACACAATAACATTACATAGTAGCAAACAACATATAACATTATCAGGTTTAAGTAAAGGTACAAGATTCCTGTTTAGGACTTCCAACATGGGACTGGGTTATGGTACATGTAAGGAAAACGAAGAGCAGAGAAGGTAAAAGGGTCATCTTTGTGTAGATCTGATAAAGATCCTTTGATGTTGGGTGCCAAGATCTCTCTAGGATCTCTTGTCTGTTACAGTGATCACAGGGGAGTTTGCCAATTTTGCTGCGTATGCGTTTGCCCCTGCCACACTTGTTACCCCTCTGGGGGCACTCAGTGTCCTAGTGAGGTATGTATACTATGTATTTAATTACTTTGTTGGGAGGAGACATGAATATTTATTCACCTGAAATTTGTGATCTATACACACTGAGGTGAACATATGTGTACATATGTCCTAAACAATGAATAGAACCCAACTGTTATGGAAATCTCAAAGTATATATATCAGGACAACATTTATAATATATTGTATAATTTGTGAGGTTTTAAAGGGGCTGTTTAGTCAAATAACACCCTTTAGATCGATTAGATACTGATATATATCTGATATCTTCAAACAAAATTTTATGTAGTTGATTAGACATGACCTTAGTCCAAAGTCCAGAGTGGTCAATATTTAGCTCGCCTATTCAAAGAATAGGGAGGCTAATGACTCATCCCCTTGGTGTCAGGTTAAATTTTTTGGGCAAGTGTTTTCCAGACAGTGTTGGATCCTCACACTCCATACACTGTTGTCTATTATAAGGTTTAGGCATTTATATAGAGTGGTAGCAATGTGCTGAACCATATTTTCATATTTTAGGCCAAAACCTCGTAATTGGACTTGGGTCAAAGTTTTTTGGCACACTTTAGATTAACGTTTTTGGGAAAGTTTTTAGGTCACCTTAGCTTTAGCTCAAGTGACCTATTGCTATCCGTCTTCATCCAACGTTGTTAGCATTTTACATTTTCAACTGAAGCTGAAGGGAATTCATTGGAAATGTTGAATTTTGAAAAAAAACTATTTCAAAAATAAAGTCAAGTTCTAATGGGGCGATTTAACTGAAACCTTGTAGGAATGAACGACTCGTGGTCCTGGCAAAGTGTTGTTATTTTTTCGGGTCGCTCAGAAATCCAATATGGACGCCAATGCCACTATTTTGAAAAACCTTTTTCAAACTTAAAGTCAAGTTCTAATGGGCCGATTTAACTGAAACCTTGTAGGAATGAACGACTCATGGTCCTTACAAAGTGTTATGTTTCGAGTCCATCAGAAATCCAATATGGCCACCAATGCTGCCATTTTGAAAAACTATTTACTAGGTCAAGGTCACTGTTACTATTTATAGAAAATTGTCAAACAGTTAGATACATTTTCTGTGGCAAGGGCAAACTTGGTAGTAATAATTGACTGTTGGACATGGCACTGGTGACAAATAATGTACTATTCTCCTTTGGCATCATTATTTCAACAACAGCAACAAAATACTATAGGACTCGGATGACCCTTAAGGCCCATATGGGTATCTTGTTTTATGCAGTGTTGGATCACCACCATCAATAGGCCCTTGTCTATTATAAGGTTGTAGTTATTTATATGGAGTGTAAGCAATATGCTGAACCAGTCTTTTTTCACTTCCAGTAATAATGTATGACACACAAAGGAAATAGCAGTTGCCATCCATGCCAGTGCCTTTATTAGGTTAAATGAGTTACCGTTATCGATGAAATAGCTGTTCATGTTCTTACAGTACATTCTAACATTACATAACTGATAAAATCACTCTAAATGTCTACATCAATTAATATAATGATGTAACTACTTACACCATTTATTCAATGGCTGTACAACCAAATCAAAGTCATCATTACCATCCACACAAGTATATGGTCAATGTGACCTACTTTAGGATTGATTGCTAAAATTATATAAGGTTATTTCACTTACATGACCTTATACTTCAATATTTATATATATACAGCTATATAACACAGAATGTAACTTTAGCCCAGATTTTGTAGATGTATGGTTCACCAACATTGTCTACAACAAAACACTGTTCTCACACTAACAATAGCAGATTAGTAACCTACAATGTACAACATATACCAAAGAGATGGAGATCCACCGTCCGCTCTTGGTATGTTTAGTGGAGTTCAGCAGACCCCACTTGATGACATTTCTATGGAATAAACTAGCCCAACACAACAGTAATAAATTCAAAAGAATAGATGACCAGACAATATCAAATGGGGAGATTCGGCAACATGTGAATTGTTTAAAGTTACTGTGTCTCCCCATTTCACGTTGTACAGCAAAACCTTGTTATATTACCACCATTTGTTCAAAGAGATGTTGGCATTATAAAGGAGTTTGGCAAAATATTAAAAATATTTATTAAATATTTATATGCATTTACCTCTGGTCTATATTTTTTGTCTGTGCTGGGTGCTTTGCCATGGTATTTCAGTGAGATAGCACTATAAAGTCCGCAGCAGATCTAAGCTACATTCGAACCTCGTTATCTCAAACTCTTTTAACTCGAAGACCCCGTTTATCTCGAAGTATTTCTCCAGTCCCGGCCAAACCTCTTCTTTATCTTAGTAAATCAAAATCTGATAATACGAACCCTGAAAAGTCTAAAAACTTTGATACCTTGATAAAAGATATCAGTTTTGATAGCGTAAATCTAACATCAAAACATCGTTTACTGCATAGTCATCAAATTTCATTTTGTCACTTATTAATTCTTTGATACAAATAAAACACAAAAGTACTACATCTCGCCATTCCGTGTTTATGAACATCTTTTGTGAGTAGACTAGCATGAAATCGGTAAAAAGAATTTACGATAAAGCTTCAGACTGGAAAGTGTGCGGACTGTCAAAACCATGTTGTTCATAATAAAAATCAAACTTCATCAATGTTGATCGACAGTATTCTGTACATACACCCAAACATTGGTCACAAAGCGTGGTCATGCATAAAAGAGTTCCACAGTTGAAATCACAACCTAGGACAGCTTCATGGGTTCATGTTATTACAGGAGCCAGTATGGCTTTGAAAGTCGATCTAGAGAATTAAGAGCAATGCTGTTGATTACATCGAGTTGAGGAGGTGTCAGGTGTCACATTTCGCTTTAATGAATCAATGTGTTACATGTACGATATAATCTGTTTGTGTGTGTTTTCATTTACAGAATCAACTACGCGTACGCTTCATTACTGTGATTTGTTTTAGATTTGCATACTTTCATTGCCGCATTGTATAGTACGAGGACGGAGACAGCGGGATAGTTTGATTTTTAAATGTAACACTTCAGAAGTAAAACTTGACAGACTTGCAAATACAAATGCAGACCTGGAAAGACTTTGCCAAGAGCTAGACTAGCCAAAAACAACAATTTAATAACTAGGCCAGTTTAAAACGATTTCACAATGTGGTCCAACTGGTTTGATCGCATTAAACGAAAGTACGGTTTTCGGAAATAACTTACTCTATTTTTGTAAGGGTGTTTATTGTAAAATAACATACCTGTATTTGTGATATTGATTATGTATATCATTCATCGATTGATAACAAGCATTAACTATTAATAAAATCAACAACTGCTAGTGCTATGTCAAAACAGCAAATTTCATACCAAATTTATGAACCCGCATAACTTGAATACTCTGATAACTCAAAGTTTTTCCACTTTGAGATAACGAGGTTCGACTGTATGATATGAGAATTTCAGTTCATGGATACCTTTGGTTAAGGTAAAACATTGTTTGTTTATGTAGGGTAATTAAGGTAGTCCGACCTATTTAAAACAACTGTCTGATTCAGACCATAACTTTCTATTTATTGACATAGGTTTTACTGAACTACATGTAATGTCGAGACTATTTACTCTACTTTTCCAGTGCGGTGCTGTCCTCACGGTTCCTGAACGAGAAACTGAACCTGCTTGGTAAGGTTGGCTGTACCTTGTGTGTGCTGGGGTCCACTGTCATGGTCATACACTCACCAAAGGAGCAGGAGGTCAACAGCATGTCCTGTCTGCTGGACAAGATTGAGGAACCAGGTACACACTTCATAGCATTTATTGAGAATATTTACAGGAACTAGGCAAGCACTTAATTAATTGGCATATTTACAGGAACGAGGCAATCACTTCCTTACTTAGTTGGAAATGTCAACAGTCTTCTACTCCAGACCATGATATGCTAGAATCAAATTCTCTTCATTGATGGAAAGGTCCTAAGGTGCTTTATTTTGCTTACTTTCAGGGAAAATAATTCAAATTTGGTTATAATAACGTCCATGTGATTGCGATTAGATGATATGAAGGTCTTAGGGTTGGGGCAAAATGTTAGAGTCAGAAACTGTTCATGGCTGGGAAGGTCCTACGGTGTTTTTATATTATTTGATACATCCCAACAACAATGCCCCCGAGCTCCTCGTCTAATTATTTATGGTATATTAAAGCTATATTGTGTATATTATTTGTGCTATACATTTTGTAGACAATTAGTTAAGAAACTTGAACAGTTTGTAGATATTGTAAAGCATTTTTTTGCTATACCAAGTACTTAAAACCTATTTTGTTCCTATCTGACTATTGACTTCCAAGCGTTCGTACTTTTCGTGGTGATACAAACATTCAAACTAGCCACCCTGGCATCACAGATGCTAAGATTTTTTCACTACTTTTCCAACACAGTCTCAGTTTTGACTCTAAATCAATTCATGTGAGTGTTAAGGCCTGTTGGGTTTCTTGTTTGGGGATGAAACTTGTATGTACAATATGATATAGAAAGACTGAGGCTAAGTTCAAAGCTGAACAAAATCTACTTATTATTAATTGGCATACTGCACTCTGATTGGTCAAATAATCTGATTCTGATGAAACTTGTCAATATTTACATTATACAGTGACAAAGACTAAGCTCAAAAGGTGAGCAAAATCTGTGTATATGTGATTAGCATCGGCTGACTAACTGTTTCCACATAATAAGGTATTCATTAGGACTGGATTCAAATGAAACTTGGTCAAAATTTACACTCTTAGCAAAATCTGCCGGTAGTAAAAAAATAAATCCTTTCCTTTCATATTGGCTCCATCAAAGTAAGTAGAGGCTACAGAGCCACATAAATGAGATAATACCATATTAAATGCAATTCAATATCGGATCTCATGATTTTGCTCTGGATAGTTATGGCATGTGGATTACATGTTCTATTTTACTCACATCAAAACAAGTATAAGAATTGTATTGGAACACAGATGGCTGATAATTAAGGCTCGTAGACCTCTGATTACAATTAAAAAGTTCTGTTCAATGTGCATTGATGTAGGAGAGTACTTGTGTTTTAGATACAAAGACTTCACTTTGTAGCTATAAGCATGATATAAGCATGATAAATGTACTTAAAAGGTTTCTTCCTTTTATTATAGGATTCATCATATACTGCATATTCATCGTGTCACTTGCTATCTTTGGAATATTTTTTCTGGCTCCACGCTACGCTCACAAAAACGTGTTTGTCTACATCATGATCTGCTCCACACTTGGATCGTTCACAGTGGCTGGCTGTAAGGGACTCGGGGTGGCACTGAAGCAGACGTTCAATGGGGACAACCAGTTCACCAGTTGGTTGACATGGATTTTACTTGCTGTTGTTATACTGTGTATACTGATACAGCTCAATTATCTCAACCGTGCATTAGACCAATTTAACACGTCTGTAGTCACACCTATATATTATGTGTTTTTCACCTCCTGTGTGATTGTAGCTTCTCTGATATTGTTCAAGGAGTGGGGTGCCATTTCAGCACAGGACAGTATCGGTAATCTCTGTGGATTCCTGGTAATTATCGTGGGAATATTTTTACTACAAGCATTTAAAGACATGAATATATCACTTTCAAACTTGACCACTATGAAGCGAGATGTGGAGTCGAGTAACAATGGCGATATTGCCACGCCCGTGACATTTGACGAGAATTACACAGACTACCACGATGATGAACTTGGCTTGCTAGATGAAGATGCTGTGAGCAATGTAAACAGTGACATTCCACTTGAAACTGATTATAGGGATGATGTGGAGTTTAGATAATACTGTCTGCCCAAGGACATCAACTAGTTTTAGCAAAATTTGAATGTTCTTTTTTCCATTGTCAAACTATTGCATAATGTGTGTTTTATGAGTGATAAAAATCAGGCAGAGGTTTTATTACCTCATCTTAGCAAACTTAACCAGAGGTTCCTGTTGTGGCAAGGTGTTGGTGGTCCTAAGCTGCAAGTCAAAAGTTCCCTAAAAGCCTAATTAGTCTTAAACAGAGGTAAAAGGATTTGGAAAAACATATGTTGTAAAGCATTGTTAGACAGACCAAGGATGATCAATTTTGTGTAATGATAGATGTGTTCTGTCACTCTTTCCGACCAATTTAAAAGAAACTTTGGAAGGATGGGTTAACAGATTAAACCTGGCAAGAAGAATCACCTTGCTAACCAAAAATATTTATTGTTGAATTGATGGTTGTTGGTCCCTTGGGGGCTTGATGTCGGGTTACAGTTTTAATGAAAATCCAGATGTAGATTGCAAATCCTTATTCCAGACTGATCCAGGCTGGGGACTTGCTATGAGTTACCCTTAGGAGCAGAGGAGTGGGACACAACTAAAAAAACAGTTAAAAAACCTAAATAGAGATTACAAAAAAGAAAGTTGAAATTTGTTTTGACTGCTTTTGAAATGTTCCCCAGTGAATCTCCACCTTTTTGTTTGTACCTGTTAACAGTTAGGAGCTGGCTTAGGTATAAACACAGCATAAAGTGTCCTACACATAAATATCACAGTAGTCAAACATGTCAGAGGACTTCTTCTGAAGAGCTGAAACATCTAGTCATGATGTTAGGCTGGTATCTTCCTTCAATGAAGCCCAACAAAATATGTGGACAAAAATGACCTCAATTACCTACTTTCAAGGCATCAGGGTCAAATTTGTTAAAAACTTCAAACAGCTGCTTCTGAAGAACTGCAAGGCTTGATATGAGGCTGGTAGCTTTCTGAGAGTGATCCTGACAAAGTTTGGAAACAGAAATGACCTTATAGTCAAGGTCTTTGGGATCAGATGTGTCAAAAACTTTAAACAACTACCTCTGAAGAATAGAAATATCTAGAGTACTGATATCAGGCTGGTAGATTACTGGGATGAACCCCAGAGGAAGCCAACCTCTTGCGCTTAGTCACAAAAGCGAGATGAGTGGATAAAATTGTCCTTGGCCCACTTTAAAGGTCACTACATTTGGATTGTCAAACTTATTAAAATCTTCTGAATGGCTAAAAGTCACAGGATCATGTTCACAGTGGTCACCTATGTCAACAACGTGATATGTGGGATCTGAAGGAATGAACAAGACTGACCCTCTTTTACGAGCAGCTCATGAAAATAGCTTCAATTCTTCCAACAAAGATTCTTAAGGTGCAGTGTTAAATAATCATTAGACACAGACCCATAACGTGTAAGGCAAATGTGACGTTTTTGAATTCAATATTCAATGTCACAGGGGTCAAATGTCAAAACGTGCAAATGACTTGATCTAAAGAAAACAAAGGCCTAGAGTGATGATATTTAAGTATGATTTGAGGGATTTTAACTAAATTTTGTGGAGAGTATCCTTAGGCAAAGGGGACGCAATTTTGTATAAATGGAGGATTGCTTTTAGGGGGCAGAGGGGCAAGGCCCAATTGGGGAAATTGATGTTAATGTTTAGAAAGAAGAGACCTATTGAGTGACAGCTGTTGCTGAGAGACAAGGCCAATATTTGGAAATAGCAGTATTACATGTAATAAGAATAATTTTCCATGGTTGCTTTATTATCCAGGTGAGCGATACCGGCCTCTTGTAAATGATTCCTTCTGAATAGCCAGGAATAGGTGATTATATCTGCCAGCAGCATGCTGGGATGAAGGGCTTTCAAGATTGCTCAATGCCATAGACCTACTTTCTAGGTCATAGGGGTCCAGTGTGTTGAAATCCTGAAGAAAGACTTCTCAATAACCAAAAGTCACAGGGTGATGATACTTTGCCAGTAGCTTAATTACTTGGATTAAGGGCTACCACGTTTGTATAACCATATAAGACTTTCAAGGCCACTGGGGTCAAATTAGTTAAGATATTGTAAAAGATTCATTTGAATAACCAATAGTTATAGGTGAGGATAGTCAGCCTGTTACCAACAGTTATAGGTGAGAATAGTCAGCCGGTAACCAACAGTTATAGGTGAGGATAGTCAGCCTGTAACCAACAGTTATAGGTTAGGATAGTCAGCCTGTAACCAACAGTTATAAGTGAGGATAGTCAGCCGGTAACCAGCAGTTATAGGTGAGGATAGTCAGCCTGTAACCAACAGTTATAGGTGAGGATAGTCAGCCGGTAGCTTTATTTGGTCCATTTGAATAAATTTGACTTTGTTCCACTAAGACGGTTAAAAGTTTGAGATTAATGCAGATGAGCGATGTAGGCCCATTTGGCATCTGATATTTATCTTGATTAGAATATTTTAAACTTGCACTGCCAGCTTTAGTATCTTAACACATTCCTGGACCAAGGAGATACAGCTACAAGTAAAGCTCAAAATACTATGAAAAATATTATTTTATCAATTTTATCATCATTTGGTGTATAAGTATCATTAGTGAAGGTGATTCAATACAGTAAAATAGGGGCAAATATATGAATAATTACTCCCGAAGATTTATTTATGCACATCAGTGGAAACCAGTCCAGCTAATGAGTTCAATGGAGCTCTTGTTGTTAAGTGTTGAATGATTTGAATTGTTTGTACATCAGAATTCACAACCAAGCGTTTCTACAGCGACTTGGTTTCCTTGTTTTGTGTATAAATTGATGTTATACAGCTGTTGTGCAATGGTGCGAACAGATCAATTCTGTTACTTTACCAACAGTAAAACAGGTAAGCAGACAGAAGGCAAGTATTTTTGTAATCAATTTTGTTCGTTATATATATGAAAGTATAAATTGTTTTAAGAAATTATTTTACAATCTTGGATGTAGAAGATAATTTATTGTTGATATTTCATACTTTGTACCTTAGATTTCATGTGTGATACAGATTCTCTGTCAGCCATACCTGTTACAATATCATATATCATTGTACATAACACGGTCTATTTGAACATATCAATCTTTCTACCATAACCATTATTAGTTAGGATATTAAGGCTTTATCACGATATTATTATTATTATACATAAATATTATATATTTTTTCAAAATGTTTAACAAACTGAGTATTTCAAAGAAAAATTGTTTCTAATAATTAAATAATGAAAATATGTGATAGTGTGGTGTACTTAAGTGTGCTATACCTAGGTCTCAAAAGGAATTAAAATGATTTGTGTAATCTAAACGTTTATTTTGATTTACAGGAACATCAGATACCTTTGTACCTGACTTTATGATAATCATATTAATGTACGTGAGGTGATTGCTTTTTACCTCCTCAAACAAAGCTTGATACATAATATCCAATCACTAACTACTCCCTGTGTAATACCCCCTGGTACAAAGCTTGATACATAATATCCAATCACTCACTACTCCCTGTGTAATATATATATCCCCTGTTACATAGCTTGATACATAATATCCTATCACTCACTACTCCCTGTGTAATACCCCCTGTTACATAGCTTGATACATAATATCCAATCACTCACTACTCCCTGTGTAATACCCCCTGTTACATAGCTTGATACATAATATCCAATCACTCTCTACTCCCTGTGTAATACCCCCTGTTACAAAGCTTGATACATAATATCCAATCATTCTCTACTCCCTGTGTAATACCCCCTGTTACATAGCTTGATACATAATATCCAATCACTCTACTCCCTGTTTAATATATATACCCCCTGTTACAAAGCTTGATACATAATATCCAATCACTAACTACTCCCTGTGTAATACCCCCTGGTACAAAGCTTGATACATAATATCCAATGACTCACTACTCCCTGTGTAATACCCCCTGTTACATAGCTTGATACATAATATCCAATCACTCTCTACTCCCTGTGTAATACCCCCTGTTACATAGCTTGATACATAATATCCAATCACTCTACTCCCTGTTTAATATATATACCCCCTGTTACAAAGCTTGATACATAATATCCTATCACTCTCTACTCCCTGTGTAATACCCCCTGTTATATAGCTTGATACATAATATCCAATCACTCACTACTCCCTGTGTAATACCCCCTGTTACATAGCTTGATACATAATATCCAATCACTCTACCCCCTGTTTAATATATATTCCCCCTGTTACAAAGCTTGATACATAATATCCAATCATTCTCTACTCCCTGTGTAATACCCCCTGTTACATAGCTTGATACATAATATCCAATCACTCTCTACTCCCTGTGTAATACCCCCTGTTACATAACTTGATACATAATATCCAATCACTCACTACTCCCCGTGTAATACCCCGTTACAAAGCTTGATACATAATATCCAATCACTCCCCCCCCCCCCTGTAATACCCCCTGTTACATAGCTTGATACATAATATCCAATCACTCTACTCCCTGTTTAATATATATACCCCCTGTTACAAAGCTTGATACATAATATCCTATCACTCACTACTCCCTGTGTAATACCCCCTGTTACATAGCTTGATACATAATATCCAATCACTCTACCCCCTGTTTAATATATATTCCCCCTGTTACAAAGCTTGATACATAATATCCAATCCCTCACTCCTCCCTGTGTAATACCCCCTGTTACAAAGCTTGATACATAATATCCTATCTCTCTCTACTCCCTGTGTAATACCCCCTGTTACATAGCTTGATACATAATATCCAATCACTCTACTCCCTGTTTAATATATACACCCCCTGTTACAAAGCTTGATACATAATATCCAATCATTCTCTACTCCCTGTGTAATACCCCCTGTTACATAGCTTGATACATAATATTCAATCACTCTCTACTCCTTGTGTAATACCCCCTATTACAATGCTCCATACATAATATCCAATCACTCTACTCCCTCGTTAAACATAATCTGAATTTGACTGCACTTGGTAGACTATACAAGATGTCTGTAAACTTCTACTCAGTAACATGTCTTCACGTCTTAGTGATACACCAATGTATTACCCCAAGTTAGGCCTACATTTTATAATATGTGTGTGTTAGATGCAGTACATGTACTACACATTTGTTTTTAAAGGTTATCGGGTCATAACTCTTTCTCTGACCAGAAAATAATGAAACAAGCAAATTCGTGGAATTTATGTCCCCTGATTGAAGGACATTGTAGGTTAACATGATTGAGGTTAGGTTTAAACATGTGAGTATCGTGCTGTTGAGACATAATGTATAGCTTAAAGCTTGAAACCTGAAGAAATAAAAGAAAGTCCTATACCTCATTGATTACCCGTAAATATGCACAAATCACATCGGTTAGCAAACTTAGCATGAGTCGCATGTGCATACGGAATTTGGTTGAAACATCTGAACAATATCTACAGCAATTATCACACGAAAACCAAAGAGTGCCCGAGATGGGGGGAAAGACAGAGGAACACAAACATTGTTATCAAGTTTGAAGGAATTCGCTAATATTTGCTAGAGTTATTAAGCGGAAACTGGAGGTAATGACGTTTTTCGTTAATCAAGGGGCCATAACTTTGCCAATGAAATCCGTTTAAAATGGTTGTCAAACTTGGCCGAGTCCTTAAAGTGGCTGGTCGGGGGAAAAATGTCATATTTGCTAAAATGGCATACGCATGTTTAAAATCCCTTCTTATGAAATATACCGTTTCAAATTTTGCTGAAATTCACTCCCTAGGAGTAAAAATTATAATTATATTAAAGAAATCCTAAATCGTCACCTGACAGTCTAAAACTCTCAATTGACCCAGATCAGTGATGTAATTTTACCGCACGCGCGTCATCAAAAAGGCCAAATATAAACATCGCGTCGAAAGAAAAAGATGCATGCAAAAGTCATGACAGGCACGAGGTATCAATACCGTTATATATAACAACAACATATAGGTAGGAATACTACACTTGCATCATACATGACCTTTGAAAACAATTATTTACGTATAGTATTGCTGTTTTGTCCGCTAGTTGAGTCCGACATGGCACATGACGGCGTGCTATTGTTGTTATCTTCACTGCCTCACTGTCGAAAGAACCACGTGACATATATAAATAGATCTGCGCTAAATTTACGCGGGGCTGGACATTGCAAGCAGAACTCGACCATCATATAGCCGTGGTATAACTTTTGGAAGGCCAGAGAACGCATTTAGACCCATTTATTTTGTATTTTCCCCCCCGACCAGCCCCTTTAATGCGTTAAACCCTGTTACCAAATTTGAAGACAATCGGAAATATTTCTAGAGTTAATGAACATAAACGGCAGATAGTGACGTTTTTCGTTATTCAAGGGCCCAGAACTCCCCAAATAAAGTCGTTGAACTTGGGCGAACCCTTATAGTGCATTTAACACTGTCTCCAATCCACACCGGCACCGGAGGTTTGGGGTTCGTTTCCGGTTGAAAATCGAAACGGGTGTGGACAGATGGTGAGTGTCTTATTTACGCTTATGTTCGCTCTAAATGATAGGAATTGTATAAAAAGTCGGACGAGAATGTTGTCAGAACAGTTTAGCAACAGAATCTATCAAATGCTATGCTTCGGTGTTAATTATATCAACTTAAATTGAATATGCACGAATAATAATTTGCATCCACTCTCAAAAGTTTGAATTTTAATGACGTTTTTGTTTCCAATGTGACATTTTGCAGCTTTAAGAATACGTCGATAGAAAATACAATTTCTTATCATTCGTTTGGATATTCATTATCGCATCGTCTCAATCAGCAAATGTTAGAAAATGATGTATTAATGAAGTGTGCAATGGTTTGTTTACACTGTGTTTGGGTAACCCTTGGTGTTCGGTTTAGGTGATACTGTGACTGGTTTCGTTATAGGATGAGGTCAGGTACAATGGACCAATTTCTGTGTCACCACTGTTCGCATGGAGGTCATTCATTTGCGGACATGATCTGTCACATGACAAAAGTTCACACTGATTGTGTGATTAAATTCGGTCGTTGGATTTAAATGTAGAATCCGGGAAACTGGGATATAGAACTCATAATTTCGAAGTAATTCCCAGAGATGTTATTGAAATGGCTTAAAATGCAACGAACCTGGGAATTTAATTCCCACTGTTGGAGGTGACAGACAGGACAGTCTTTCTGCGGTTTTTCGCAGTCCGTTAGCCAAAAGAATCAGACTGGATGAACCCCAACTTATCTTACAAACTGATCATAGCAACTTGGACTCAGAATACAAAAGATTTGAGGCGGAATTCCACATGCTGGTCGAGGAGGATGAGGAAGATGAGAGCATTTCCGAGGATCAAAAACAAATAATGGAACAGTTGCCATTGGTTCTGGAGACCCTGCGTAAACATGGGCAAACGGCAACTTGGAAAAAATTCATGTGCATGTTAAGCAAGGACGAATTTCCAATGACAAATATTGCGTACCTACTTTTTTTGGACGTTGTCAAGTGGTATAGCTAGGACAATACAGTCTGCATGAGGTAAGACGACCAGGTATCCAAATTTTGGAGAATTGGATATAAGTTATTTCATAGGCGGTTCTTACGGTTCATGGGAGGACCAAAGAATCGGGGACAAATTCTCTTTGGTGAAACTCTCCGGGGGATCTTTACTCCATCTGAAACTCGGATTAACTTCGCCGTTCCAATCAGTAAAGTAACTGACTCCAAGCACTCGCCCTTACCAGCACATGAAATAAAACCGGGAATCATTCGGACATTACTTGACAAAGTTGCAATGCAGTCGACTGAAGAAGAAACATACAAGATTTGCCTTGATGGGAAAAAAATCAACGCCAGTACGTCTGGAACTCTTGGCGATGTTGATTTGTTTGGTTTTGAAAAACAAACAACGCTTTCGCAAAGGAAAGATAGACTGCAACTGGAACTAAATCTGACCAACAAAATCTTTGCTGTTGTAGAACGTTTGGATGCTGATATGGAGCTTGTGAGCCTGCTGCCCTCATTTAGAGATAGTATATGTGACAAAATGAAGGTATGATAACACTACTTGGTGAAAGAGTACGAGATCTAAGATCAACAAAAACAACCAGACAGGCTTCGCTTCAGAAATTCAAGGACATGGCAGGTGCAGATTGGAAAAAGTCCAACTTGTGTAACGTGATTAGTGCAATTTCGACTCAATTGTATGATGTCAGTAATTGTATAGAGAACATAATGCGATTGATAGACAAGCTTTGCTACGATTGTGCAACGCTGTACGGAT